ACTAACATACCAACATATACGGATGTATATGTCTCTGAGTGTGTGTGTGTGTGTGTGTGTGTGTGTTTATGCGGTTAATTCAAGTGCGACAACGAATAATTCGATTTCAATTTAACTAATTAGTTGACAACGAGTTATCGTTAAATACTACAACAACTATCATTTTAACGTGTGTGTGTGTGTGGCATACTACAAACTCACACACACACACACACACACATAGTAATGGTCACTTTTGAGCCCATTAATGATATCGTGGTAATAGCAACGGACAACGCGTCATGTCTACCCCGTATCTAGATATGTTGATGAGTATGTGTTCCATTGCCATTCAATATTGTGTGACTATCGTCATAATTACTTCAAGTCATCATCAACGGCATTATTAACAGCATCATCGACATCATTATCACCATCATCTACTTCATCATCGCCATCGCCATCATCAGTGCCGCTGTTAATGATAAGTGTTTATTGCGGTGGGATTGTTAATCTTGATACATCTTTAGAATTGATCAGCAGATTGATTTCAAATGAAATGAATTGAAATGTTTCGATTTGTTATACTTCCATATAATCTCATGTAATGAGGGTTTGCTGATATTCTCTTCGATGATGGGGCAAGAAGTCACAGCTAAATAATTAACCGAGAGTGATATCCTTTTCAAATTAATGAAATTCGGAGGGGAATTGCTGGGGTGGTGGGGAGACGTTGGATTTACTTGGAATAAATTGAAAATGATGGGGTAGCCAAATATGGCTGCAATTAAAATGTGTGTAGGGAAAATATAGCAAATGCGCTCAGAAATTAATGGGAAACGGAAATCAAATTTCCGGAAATTATGTCAAAAGTTTTGATTTACTCATGTCATGCGGTGGATTTATAAGATTGTTCTTGGAAACGATGAATATTTACTAAGGACTACTAAGTTTATAGTTTCATCAAGAATATGGTTTTAAGGGGTATGAACGCCTTATTCGCAGGTATATGAGAAATGTTACGTGAAGAACTATCACAGTTATTGATACCGATTTTTTATGAATTTATTTACGAGACATTCGTGGACTTTTATACCCTCCACCATGGAAAGGAAGGTATATTAAATTTGTTACTCCCAGGTCAGGGCAGGTCTGGTCAGGACAGGTATGGCCCCATGTGACGACTCTGCCGATTTTTTTTTTTTTTTTGAAAATTTAACCTTCATCTTCCAATCGATCCCAATGGAATTGACAGTTTAAAGTGGGACACCTTTTAGTTCACTTTCTTTTATTGAAAATTCTTTGCTATGGATGGATGGATGTTTGTGGTGAATTAAAATCGTAGGTTTTGACGGTTTAAAGACAATCTTTTGAAAAAAAAGATATAAATTTCTATGATTTTTATTGAAGTACAATCCGGCATACTCACGATGGTTTTATGAAGGATAAACGTGTTTTTTTTTGTAATATTTAGTCAAAGAAGATATTGCATTTTTAAGATTTTATTGTCAAGGATAATCGTAAACATTTTTATTTATTTATTTTATTTTCATTTGTTAGGACAATCATATCGTTATACTTTACTTTATTGAGATATATTATAAGAATAATTTTTAAAAGCTCGAAAAATCTTTTAAGGATGCATTGACAAGGACCTCAATGGGCTTCTGTTATTGCTATTATTATTATTATTATTATTATTATTATTATTATTATTATTTTTATTATTATTATTATTATTATTATTATTATTATTTTTATTATTATTATTATTATTATTATTATTATTATTATTATTATTATTATTATTATTATTATTATTATTATTATTATTATAATTATTGTTATTATTATTATTATTATTATTATTTATTTATTTTTTTTTTTTTGCTAGCCCTTCCAGAATTTTTAAACGATTGTAGGAGAATTTTTGGATTTTAATTTTTTTAGAATCTTCGGATTTTAATTTTTTTTTTCAAGAATTTTGGGATTTTATTTTTTTTTTTAAGAATTTCTTACCAATGAGTGCTGTGAGCTATGGAATTTTTTATTTTGAAGGGCTGTAATGGATTTTTTTCTTTAAGAATTTGTTGTTTACGAATTTTTTTATTAAAGCATTATATTCAACTACCAATATACATTTAAGCTTGGTTTTCAAAAAATCTACTGACCAAAAAACAAGGGATTTTAAAGAATATTTTTTTAGGGACCAACTAACCAACCATCTCAGATTTTAAATAATATTTTAACTTATTTATTTATTAACTTTAACTATTAACAACCATTAAACGTTGATTTTTAAAGAACAATTAGACCAATAAACGTGGATTTTTAAAGAATATTTTTTAAAGGACCAATAAACGTGGATTTTTAAAAAATATTTTTTCAAGGACCAATAAACGTGGATTTTTAAAGAATATTTTTCAAGGATCAATAAATGTGGATTTTTAAAAAATATTTTTTCAAGGGCCAATAAACGTGAATTTTTACAAAATATTTTTTCAAGGATCAATAAACCTGGATTTTTAAAAAATATTTTTTCAAGGGCCAATAAACGTGGATTTTTAAAAAATATTTTTTCAAGGACCAATAAACGTGGATTTTTAAAAAAAATATTTTTCAAGGACCAATAAATTTAGATATTTTAAAAATTTTTTTTCGAGGACCAATAAACGTGGATTTATAAAAAAAATTTTTTCAAGGACCAATAAATGTGGATTTTCAAAAAATATTTTCCAAGGACCAATAAACGTGGATTTTTAAAAAAATATTTTCCAAGGACCTATAAACGTGGATTTTTAAAAAAATATTTTCCAAGGACCTATAAACGTGGATTTTTAAAAAAATATTTTTTAAGGACCAGTAAACATGGATTTTTAAAAAATATTTTTTCAAGGACCAATAAACGTGGATTTTTAAAAAAAATATTTTTTAAGGACCAGTAAACATGGGTTTTTAAAAAATATTTTTTCAAGGACCAAAAAACGTGGATTTTTAAAAAAATATTTTTAAGGACCAGTAAACATGGGTTTTTAAAAAATATTTTTTCAAGGACCAAAAAACGTGGATTTTTAAAAAAATATTTTTTAAGGACCAGTAAACATGGATTTTTAAAAAATATTTTTTCAAGGACCAATAAACGTGGATTTTTAAAAAAATATTTTTTAAGGGCCAAAAGACCTATAAAAGTGGATTTTAAAAAATAAAAATAAATAAACGTATATTTTTAAAAAATAGTTTTTCAAGGACCAATGGACGTGGATTTAAAAAAAAAATTTCAAGGACAAAAGACGTGGATTTTAAAATATTTTTTCAAGGACCAATGAACGTGGACCAATAAACGTGGCTTTTTAAAAAATATTTTTTCAAGGACCAATGAACGTGGCTTTTTAAAGAATATTTTTTCAAGGATCAATAAACGTGAAATTTTAAAGAATAGTTTTTCAAGGACCAATAAACGTGGATTTTAAGGAATATATAGATATAGATTTTGGATTTTATAAAGAATATATTTTCAAGGATGAATAGTAAAATGGACGTGGATTTTTACAAAAATATATTTTCGACGACCAATAGGCCAATGGGTGTGGATTTGAAAAAATAAATGTTTTCTCAAAGACCAATAGGCCTTTAAAAAATATTTTTTCAATGACCAAAATTGTAATGGGCCTGGATTTTTAAAAAAATATTTTTTCAAAGACCAATTTTGCAATGGGAGTGGAATTTAAAAAAATATATATTTTTTCAAAGACCAATTTTGCAATGGTCCTGGATTTAATATTTTTTTTTCAAAGACCAATTTCGCAATGGGCTTAGTATTTTAAAAAAATATATATATTTGAAGAACCAATGAGCGTAGATTATTGAAAAAATATTTTGTTTAAGAAAAAGGACCAATTGACTTGGATTTTTGAAAAAATATTTTTTTAAGAAAAAAAATTCATAAAGGAGCAATTGACGTGAATTTTTAAAAAAATATTTTTTAAGGTCCACTGGACGTGGATTTTTGAAAAAAAAAAATAAATTTAATGGACCCTGGGCATGGATTTATAAAAAAAATATTATTTTAGTGCCCATTGATCGCGGATTTAGAAAAAAAATATTTTTTAAGGGACCAATGGTCAAGACCCTTAGATATATAAAAAAATCCGGAATTGTTTTTATATGGGTGCTACTACGAGACATTGATCTACATTGAACATTTTCTACAAGAAGCGTTTCTGCCCCCTTCTATACCAATCTGTCAAAAAGGGCGGTTGATACTGGAAATAACTGATTTTAAATAGCTGACTCGGCTTGCAATGTAGTAGCAGTATTTCACCATTGACTTCAAGAATATTGCCCTTTAAAGTGGAAATTGTCTGTGGCTTTTCGGTGCAACACTGTGTCGAATCACAGCTCCGAGGTGTCCAAACAATATCAGCTCTGCGGCTGATAATGCCTTAAAAACGGTGTCTGAAAGCCCAGATTTTGATCTAATAATCGAATACTATCACTTCCTCTTGGAATTTCCCATCCCCCAGACCATGACCCGAAAAAATTTTTTTTTTTTTTTTTTTTTTGAAAGTCTATCAGTTTTATAATCGTGTGTATTTCACGGATTATATCTACAATAATTTACATTTTAATAATTTTCTAGGTCTATATTAGCTACGATTCTGGAATATTTGAGAAATATTTCTATCGAAGCTATAATTTTGAAAATAAAAATAATTAATTACCTCAAGTGCATGGATCGCTAATTTTTAATACATTTTTCAAGAATCGTCTAAGTTATGATAAAGGACCAGTAGAGCTGTAATCATGATTTTTTTCCAAATATTTCCCAATGATATCCTCTTGCTCTATCTGCTTTATACACTTTTTACATTATAAGATTTTCCATTAATTTCTTTTTTTTTATTTTTTTTTCAGTTATCTCAAAAAATGCTATCAAAATTTCAACCAATTTATATTATCGAAATTCAGTGAAAGTTCATTGCCATCGCGTAGCAAAAGTGTTTTCCCTTTCAACCCATTCGATGTTCTCACATATATATCAGCGAAGAGAGCTCGGAGTGTTTTAAAACAAAATTTCGATACTGTGATAATTAAACAAACCAAAAAGTTCATAAAACCTAAAAAAAAAATAATCGCTAAATAAATGCTGGCCAAAAATTTGCGTGTAATTAAAACAACAAGATACAAAAAATAAAAACAAAATTCACGAAAACCCAACAGCCAACTAGAAAAACAAACAAGCAAATCAAACTCCAATAAAAACACCATTTAAATTCAACACCATTCGACGGAGCAGCAACAAAGTTGGCCGTTTGGGGAATAGAGAAATTATCATTTCGACAAAAACAAATAATAAAACGCGTTCGCCATCATCATCATCATGCTGCAATCTATGAAATTGCGTACAGATCAACTTTCCGATGCAAATAGTAACAACAGCAGCAGCAACAACGTCAACAGTGCCAGTAATACCAATAGCAACACTAACGCCGGAGTAGTAATGGTGGACAATGGTCTTGGCACAACCACAGCAACATTAAATCCTAGCCAACTTTACACAGCCACCAACAGCAACAACAACTCCGGGACATTGTCAGCACCTGTTGCCCGAATTGTGGCAACACCGGGGGCGGCAGCACTTGCCACAGCTCATGCTAATGGACTTGGTGTAGTTGTTTACGCTAATAACACTAACAACACAAACAGCGCCAGCAACAACAACAACATCATTGGCAATGGCGACAGTAATGTTGGCGGCATTGGCGTTGGCATTAACAATAACAATAAACATATGATGATGGTAAACAATAATCATTTAAATAATCTACAACAACAACATCCCCTGCACCAACAGCTACATCAGTATCAGACCAAGTATTTAGAGACTGCCATTGCTGCGGAGACAACAGCATCGGCGGCCACAATTAATTCAACCAAAGTTACAACATCGTCGAAAACTTTTCATCCCTATTCGCGTCCTCCACCGCCCACAGCAGCAACAGCAGCAGCATCGGCAGCTGCCACACCGGCTTTGTGCTTATCGTCCTTTGGCTATGCCACACAAATAAATTCCAACATTGGGAATTTAAAAACAAATTCTGCTACAGCTGTAGAGACTGCAACAAACAACAACAGCGCCAACAACAACAACAACAATAGTAGTAGTAATACAAACACCTCTCCAGCATCAAGTGGATTATTAACTTTCCCAGTGCCACCAACAACATCATCGTCGACAACAGAATTATCATCACAGTTTCCAACAGCTACACAAACATCGTCAGGAACTTTATTAGCCAGCAGCAACAACAATAACAACAACAGTATAGAACATCAGCAACATCACCACCAATCCTCAGAAACTAATCCGTAAGTTGAACATGAATCCAATTTTTGAAATATTTAAATAGAACGATGCTAATGTAGCGGTTTTTATCAAAACTAAAAATTAGACAGACAAAAACAAAGGTAATATTTAGGGGATATATTGACTTTGACAGTTCTTACATCTATAGAAGAGACCTTTTATATATAATACTAGCTGAACCCGGTTCGCTTCGCTACCCTTTTGATTTGATACGCTTTCAAAATTTTATATATGAATATTTGTTGGTTAAAAAAAATATATATGACAAATTTTAAAAACGTAATTATTGTAATACCTTTATGCATAAACAAACAAATAGCTCGGTCTACCAACCCGTGAACATGCCAGGAACAGCTGACCTACTTTCTTCATGGAGCTATGGGAGCTATATCCAAATTTTAACCAATTTCTTATTAATTTGTCAAACTTATTATTGTTACCAAATTCTGCCACACATTATGAATTTCATTGGAATCGGACATACATATCGTGTTTGGTGCATAATATACATGAATCGGCCGAAATATGCTCGTATATATAGGAGCTATACTCAAACCTCAACCGATTTCAATATTATTTAGCAAATTTTTTGCTACCAAATTTCGTCTCTCTTTCGTCTTCATAGGAATCGGACGTACATATCGCGTTGGGTGCATCAAATTGTAAAATCGGCCGAAAACAAATATGGGATCTATATTTAAATCTGAACCGATTTCAATATAATTCGGCAAATTTATTTTCCAATCAAATCCCGTCATTCATGCCAAATTTCATTGGATTCGGACATACGTATCGTGTTTGGTGCATCAAATAAACGAAACCGGTCGAAAAAATATATGGGATCTATATCCAAATCTGAACCGATTTCAATATAATTTGGCAAATAATTTGTTTGGTCAAATTGCATTGCACATTCAAAATTTCACTAAAATGTGGCGCACACGGCGTGTTTAATGCATCAAATACATGAAATCCGCCGAAAATAGAATTTTGGCAAATTTATTTCTGTTTCAAATACCGCTACGCTTTCCAAATTTGGAGACTGTTTCTGTAATCTATCAATAGATATGTGCATATAAAATCTAAATTTTTGGGAGGTACCTCCGATTCTGATGCCATATCTCCAGTTCCAAGTGGAATTTCAAAAATTTATATAGCCTATGTTACGTTCAGGCGATGTTGTAGTTTTTGAAAATTTTCAGAAAAATCTGTTTGGCGGTTTTCGAGTCCATAAATTACAAACATACATACAAAATATTTCATCTTTTATAGATATGTAAGATAATCGCGGAGCAGAACAGGGATTCTGACAGAGAGACCTGTCACAAGTGTCTTTTTATCTAGGGTAGACCATTTAGAGTTCTTTAAGCTAGAAAAGACATATCCGGGGTCCTCTGTCTAAGAACAATTTTTTAGAGATCCTTGAGGTCTATTTTTGAATCCCTATTAAATGCAAAGCATTTTAGAGGCTTTCCATAGAACTATTTAATACATTGAAGACTATAAAAATATCCTATATTCGCAGGAGGCATTAAAGAGGTCTACTATCGTTAAAGGAACTATTAAAAGTATTCAGTACATATTAAAGATTTCTTCCATATATAGAATAACTTGTTGAGTCCTTCTACCTAGAGAAACGTAGATATTTTTAACGATCTTCTACTTGCGAAAGAAATTTCAAATCCCTTCATAAAAAGACCTTTCTAAGTTCATATATTTCCCAGGTTTCACAGGCCAACAAATTTAAGGCCTCTTTATATGTATACATTTACAGGGATCTCAATCCAAAATTTCAAAATTCCACCTTCACCCTAAGCCAAACAGTCCCAAATTTAGTACCATTTAGTACAGTTGCCACACTCTCATAGCAAATTTTAGAAATTTTCGTAACGCTAAAGATAGAATTTTCAAAAACTTCTTGGCACATCTATCCCGCACTCTATCAATGACTCTAACTGCATATTACAGATTTATGTTCAATTCCGTTTGCCCCATTCAAAGTATTAAATTTTTTGTTCGTTTTAATTCTTTTCGTACCCTTTTAGTACAAATTTCCAAAAACCCAGCCTGATCGCACGGATACTCTGTGTTGGCATCACTGGTTATTTTTAAACTATTCTCCCGCAGGATTTCGTAATTGTAAACGAGTATTAGCCATTGGTCTCGTATTTCTATTTCTCTTAAACTGCAAAATATAAATTTGCTTCTCTTTGGAACAAGCATTCACTAATTCCACAGCTCATTGGTTGTTAAGTTAACAATATTATTGTGAATTGTTCCGACTCTGGATGGGGTTCTGTATTAAGGACGATGTACTTTTTCCAAGCAATATGAAAGAAGTATTTTTTAATGGGCCAAACATTTTTATTCCCTCTGTATTTAATCATTTTCATACTCTCCCCCATACCATGGAGGGTATATTAACTTTCTCATTCCGTTTGTTACTCCTCGAAATACTCATCTCAGACCCAACAAAGTACATATATTCTTGAACAGCTTAAAATTCTATGTCGATCTAGTGATGTCCGTCTGTTTGTCTGCATGTGTGTCTGTCTGTTGGAATCACGCTATCTTTGGGACGAATTGAAGAGAAGGCTAAAATTTTGTATTTTGTCAGTGGGCAGGTTAAGTTCGTAAATGGGCCATGTCGGGGCACGTTTTCATATAGCGTCCATATAACGGTACCTCCCAATATTCGGTATTTTGATGACTTTCGCTTAATTTTTTTACCGGAATTTTTGAAACTTTCAAAATTCGTAATAGGTACTACAGCCTATGAAAATAATCGTGTATGCAGGTCCACGACTTCGTATGGCCCCTATATAACGATATCTCCTATATTTGTTATTTTGATGATTTTAGCGGCATTGTTATCCAGAATTGCTTCAAATTTCGTATTTTAATTTCGTAATGGGTACTACAGCCTATGACAGAAAATTGTCGTCTTTGTATTGCCCCTATATAACGATACCTCCCGATATTTGGTATTTTTATGGTATTAACGACATTATTCACCGGATTTGTTTAAAATTTCGTATGTAAAGTTCGTAATCGGTACCACAGGCTATGACAAACTTTTACTTATAGCCTTAATATAGTAATATTTATTGGGATGTATTTTTCTATGGATTTTTTTAAAATTTCAAATTCCTTCAAAATGGTGGATGGTGTTTAAAGTTCGGCCCGGGGAACTCCACTCCCACATGTTTCAATATTTTGACCTAATTTTTTTGCATTTCTCATTTTCAAAATATTTACTATCGATTTACATTTATAATAACTCTTTGGCGACAAAAAGTTAAGGGTCCCTCTTGGAAAAAGTTATTCCGATTCACAGGGTGTATTTCCTATTTAAACTTGTTTCCATTGAGCTACTCATCAACATCTTAACAAACCAATGTCAGATACAGGTCTCTCCCAACTTTATTGAAATGAAAAGTAATTGTTTTCAAATAAAAGTATTTATAGACAAATTATTTATAATATGCAAAGAGACTTTTTGAGTACCTGCTGTACTACAAATGCATATACTTGCATTTGTAAGAAATTTTCCCATACAAAAAAAAAAAAAAAGAAAACACCAACCTCCCATAAAGTTTAATTTCCGTCTAACTTGCATTAACATTCAATTTGAATGCATGAAATATGAATAAATAAAATTTGGATTTTGGCCATATTTTGATATTGTCATCATACAAACTGGAAAATTATGCAAAACCGCAATCAGCGAGCAAGAGATGCGAAGCAACAACAAAAAAAGAGGAAGAAAACGGATGACAATATCCTGCGGTAATATTTCTCACTTAACCACCATTCCCCTTCTCCCCACCACAACCATCCCTTTTGGGGATTCATCCCACCTAAGCAGTTACTTATCTTAGCAGCTGAAAGCGCAGACCCTCGACTTTTTTCACGCCCTGGGGTTAAAGCTCTTAACGACTGCAGGTAAAATCGTTTTTCATACTTATGCCAACATTATTCCGTCTAGATTCCAAATTTATATCATTCATGGAACATTTGCTGGAAGTTTTTGTATTTTTTTCGTGTTCCTCTTTTTCCAATGGGAGGGGGGTCCTTTTTCCTATTACCATGCGGGACATCGTCAACAAAAAAAAAAATCCCCAAATTCATGGCTCGAAATGAAATCATAAAAAAATAAAGGTGTAACGACGGATTTTTTTTCCAGCTCACTCCAAATCCTAACACAGCAATGTGTATCCTATGCTTCGCATTCTTCTTTTTTTTCTTCTTGTGGCTGTCACAAAAGATGCCGAAAATTGAATTTTTATGTTTAACATAAAACAATTTTTATGCAAATTATTAATCCATCCATAAGTTGATGAAACCTAAAAAAAAACGAACACGGAATCGTCGTGGGCGGGCCAAGCAATCAAAGCAAATCGTAAAAAAATAACTGGAAACGGTTTTATTTGTCAAAACTTAAGGTAAGTGATGGGCAGCATTTGCATTTCGGATGAGGGCGGCGGTTTGTGAAGTTTCGTCCAAGTACATTACAGGTCCTAAAATTTAAATGTTGAAAGGAAGTGAGGATTTATCATGATTGTTCAAAAATAAAAAAATTAAATCTCCTAGAAGAGCAATAATTTTTTGATGGAAATCCCAAGGTATATTGTCAATAACTAAATTTCTTACATATATTACTTAAATAATAGAAGACCTAACAAAACAGAATCAAACCATCACATTAAATTATATTTCAAGAAATTATGGTATTTTTTTTTTAAAGGCCATATGACTTTTTCTCCTAGTGCAGCTATGGGAATCTCATAACACAATCAATCAACCTTTAATAGAAGAAAATCCGGTTTTCTGTTAGAAAATTCTCTTGTTTTTTTAGAGTATCTCTAAATGGTCTCTCAATGGATCTCGAGTGTCCCGAATGCACATCCTCTGGTTCTTCACCAGTGTTGCTGCTCTCCACATATATTTTCAAAGAAGGCATTCAAACCTTTAAAAGCTTCATGGGATTCATAACTTCTTC